TTGCTGTCCAACGATATGGGTCAGGGCACTGGTACCAGGAGCCAGAAATCATCCATTTCTGGGATCTAGCAAAGTCCCGGAAAAGGAGGCTAGTCTCACTACTGGCATCAGCTCCTGAGCCATGGGGACCGACAGACATCTCATAGCCAGCTCGATCACAACCAGATACTGCATTGAAGTCACCCAGAACAATGCGAATATCTCGCCGCGGACATCTGTCTGCCACAGATGCAAGTTTGGCGTAGAACATCTCTTTCACGTCAAGTTTACAAACATCGGTAGGAGCATACACAGCAATAAGAGACATGAAGCCAAAAGATAGCTTCAATCTTAATACCATTATATGCTCATCAACAGGAGTAACCTCTACTACCGAGGGCTGGAGTCTGCTGGAGATGGCAATGGCTACTCCCTGGAGGTGATGGCCATCGCTGCGGCCCGACCAGTAATAGGTGTAGCCACCTACACTGGTCATGCCACTGCCAGGTCTCCTCACCTCCGAGAGAGCAGCCACCTCAACTCTCAGCCTCCCCAGTTCTCTCGACAGCAGAGGCAACCGATCATCCTGACGCAAAGAACGGACGTTCCAAGCCCCCCACCCTGACTTCCCGCCTGAAATTCAGCCTTGGGCAGTTACTCCGGGTGGATGCCACCTCTGCCACACCCGCCGACGCTGCCCCACATAAAAGGGGGTGGCGGGGTGCGGGCCCCATCATCTACCTGAGAGGTTCCCGAGGGCTTTCCCCCACAAGCTTCACTCTGGGCTGGCGGCTGCCAGAGCACAGGCGAGACGAGTAGTTCCCGTTCCCAGCTGCCCCCCCAGCAGGGCCCACAATCCGCCTCACTTGCTGGGAGGGAGGGACTTTTCCCCTCCTCCCAGCCTTTCCATTTACGAGGTTTACTGCCGGTTGGTTATATCTGGGGGGAGGAGGACTGGCAAGGCCCACCTCCCCGAGCCACCCATTAACCCCAGGGGGCTTAGGGGCAGGAGTTGGTACAGGGCCAGGGCGCTGTCCACACGCCGGTGGGCCATGACCCTGAACCTCTGGGGCCTCCTGCTGCTCCGAGATCCCCCACAGTTTAGCCTGGGACCGCAAGGTACCCAGTTTCCATGGGAGGCCACGAGGAGGCACTGCAGGAGTCTCAATGAAGGAGAGGCTGTGAACTGGCAGGGGGAGGCTTATGCAGAGCTGCTCCCTTTTTCGCACTAGGCTAGCCAGCGGTGGCAGCTGTAAGCGGGAAGGCATGCAAGCACTTAACACTAACTAGACTACCACACCATCACTTCACATCACCCTGTGCGTGGAGCACCCACCCATATGATAATAGTGATAATATTAATAATAACAATACCTACACATATCCATACCTACATAAGCTAAATGGCAATAAAATGAAACCAACCAATGAACAGGAAAAAAGCGTGGGGACCTCAGCAAGGCGACCAGCGTACTTCCAGATATTTCCAGATACTTTGATTGATACCATTGCCTTTTTACTGCAAGTCACACTTGACTTCTGCAAAAATTGAAATGTTTGATCTGTATCTGGGTAACTAATAATGGTGGCACGGGTGCCCTCCATGCCACCATGGAAGCCCCGTCTCTGATGAAAATCAATAAATGAATAAACGAAATTCATTAAGAAAAAAGCACAAAACACTCACTGTATATACTGCACATACACAGTTAAGACTATATATATGTAGATATATTCATCATCATAATTATAAGAGGAAAGCTTATCTGTAGCTACGTCATTTCATATATATATATATATACAGGGACTTATTAAGATAAGGGTGAGAATAACCAGTCACCTCATTAATTTGAGATTTTTTTTTTTTTTTTTATTCTTGTCAATGAACGTGTCAACTGTACTGTGCTGTGGCATTATACTAATCTTTCATTTTTGTTTGTGACGGCCTATTGGTACTTCAAGAGTCCTCTCCTGCCATTTTAGGGGGTACCTATGCTTGTTAACCACTTTTGAAACAAATTCCCCCCCCCTTTCTCAGGCATTTCTCAGGCTTTTTCCGTTATTTTACCCACTTTGCTCTGGCTTGATAAAAATATCATACCCGATCTCAGGACTGACAAATTTTCAGTATACAGTACAGTACAATAAAACAAACAAGAAATAGAAAGGGCTTCTGCTCCTCCGGAAACAGCAGAATTTCTGACAGATCTTAGGTTGATTCCTTGCCATGAAGGGTACTCGAAGTGTCAGATACTGAAAAGAAATTGACTTATATAGATTATGCATTATAAGTTTAATTCTAACTGTTCAGACTCAAGAGAATTTCACGGTGTGAATATTGCAGGGTCGCATCCAGATATTTCTGTGCGTAGCTCTCATAAAATGACAGCCTAGGCCCTATAAGGTCTGAAAGCCGTAGCCGTGCAACAAGGCACCAGAAACAAAAGTTTTGTCGCCTTGTTGGTCCAGGGACAAGCCTACCAGTGATTTTTTTTTATTTTTTTAAGTATGCGATTTCCTGCATTTTGAACTATTAAGAATTAAACTCTTGATTACATCTTACATGATATAAATTGCGCTTATGATAATAATTGCACATAACTGGTATATTTGACATTTGAGCTGCACGTATAAATATAGAACTGAATTCGTGTTCACAGATATTGGTCAAGACGTCTGGCCTTCCACGAGCTCCATATCTATTTGATTACACTTTCTTACAACAACGACAGAACGCTATCATGTTAACGCGTTCGTTTTTAATTGTTGACGAACACACTGCCGTTTCTAGGATTATAGGCTACCCTCTGTTAGGGGGAAAATAAAATATGATATCACTTATAATAGGTATCGAAAATAACATCACTGCGAAAGTAAATTTAGAAAGGAAACATTACCATTAGAGATGTAAGACGTCAGTCTGAAGATACCTAACCGTGCCCTCTTAATACGTTCGTGTTTTTACTGTGTTTTAGCCTATTAATAATTTTCATCATATGCGATGAAATGTAGGTCCGGGCCTTCAGTGCCTAATAGGTGCTACGCCAAGCTTCTGTCGAGTTCATAGGTATTCATAGACCCATTTCTAGTGTGACTACAAGGGAAAACAGGCAAGGAAAACTCACCTTACAAAAATTAGGGATCTGCAACGAAAAATCCTGTTCAGTACATTGACTGTTATAGATTATCTTACCAGTTGATGCATTCTCTGTAGCAATAGAAAACTCAAAGGAAGGAATCTAGGCATTCAAAGATTCGTCTGTATCTTCTGTAAAAAGAGAAAAAGTAGATGATAAATTAATATTCAATAAAACTCAATACAGTGTATACAGATCACCTTTACATTTATGATTAATTCACTGAGTATCCTACTTAAGAAGTTTTATTTAAAGCAAGATTGACACAAACTCTAAGCAACTGACTTGTACAAGAGGAACAAGATTAACCATACAATCGGTACACTAAGGTAATAGAATGCCTTTAGAGAAGTAGATACTGTTTAAGTGAGTCTCAGTGAGCAGTGAGTTAGTACACTGTTGTAAGCCAGTTAGAGTACTTTATAAAACTTTCCAAGTGGTGCATCATCTGTGACAACAGATGAGGAAGGCACAGCCATGTCAAAACTAACTTCCCTTTCTGAAAAATATACATATATAAATGAAACAAAATCACATGTAAATGAATTGACATAATGTACAGCATATATTGCTCATACGACAACCAAAAATTAAGATTTCCTAATTCAGTGCTACACTTATGTCTTACCTATCTTGATCACTTGTTCTTGAGTTTATGTAAACTATGCCAAGTCCATCATCATGGTAGTCAATACCACATGCATAATATATATATATATATATATATATATATATATATATATATATATATATATATATATACACACACACACACACACACACACACACACACACACACACACACACACACATATATATATATATATATATATATATATATATACTGTATTAGACTTTTAACCTATTCTGGTTTACTATTAATACACGAAATCTGTGCCTAATATGTCTGATGCTCATATAGCAAAATATTATGAATAACAAGTATGATATCTGCTTAAATATACCATATATACCAGTGGTATACTGTATAAACTGTGTAAACTACCTTCAAAATTCTGATCTGGGCAAGCATCACCACATAACCTTGATTCACTTATGCAATTTCTCTTTGAAAAATATTAACTGCAGATTCTGTATTCTTTACATTTTCATCTGCATCTACTTTCAGTGCTACTTGCCACTGTGTAATTCTGCAAAATATATCATTAACATTAGTATAGTCAGGCGCGATACAATGGGGGGGGGGGGGGTGAGGGGGTGCGATACCCCCCCAAAGGTCACAAATTTCACTCGGCAGAATGGAAAAAAATTAGTTTGCTCGGCAAACTTGGTGATCGGCATAATTTAAGAAATCAATGATCATGGTTTGTAACTCTCGGTTTTCATTTTCATTTCAATTTGGTCCTATTCGAAACAAGATATTAAAAAGTATGAAGTGTGGATTTGATTTTAATAATGTTACTCGGTAACCTTGCTCCCGAACCCCCCCCCCCAAAAAAAAAAAAAAGTTTTCTAGCGCCGCCCCTGAGTAGAGTTACATACGCAGCAGCATAAAAAATATTTTACATACATAAAGTTTCAAACTTCACGGGCTACTTTATGTCAGACTATGTATAAATGATCACTGATGTCAACCATGAAACATTAATAACTTTCAAGTTTTATGTCAGAAAATTTCGTGTATTGAAAAGGAATACCATATATCCGCTTTTTTGGTAGATATTTTTGGGTGAGATTTTTTGCTGCTGTTGCATATGACACGTGGATATCCACTTGTCATTGTGACAAGAAAACAGGTGTTAAATTTCGCGCGTCGTCTGCGACAGTGAAGCGCGTTGGCAGAGCCATCTATTTTACTGCTGATAAACTTTTTTCACTCGTTTTTGGTTACGAATATCACGTCGCAAAGCCGTCTCTTTCTATCTTTCTTTGATGATCTTTGGCAGTTGGCTCGCACTTTGATTTTGATTTGCAAATATCTGTGATAGAAACCGTCTGTTTCCCTTTTAATCGCCTGGTTTGACAAGTAAATGTTGTGATTTACTCCTCGTTATGCATAAACACATAGCATGTTCTGTAATTTGTGAATAATGAGGTATTTGTTTTGAAGTGGTGTTCGGATGTAAGGCCAACAAAAATGAAAATACCAATTGCTAGTTTTTAAGTAGTAAGTTCAACTTGAAAATTAGACGTTAATACATATATAAAAATATACTAAATTACAACCAGTTATTTACTCTAAGTCCTACATAAATTAGAAGTTATTTCAAATGTTTAATAAACAAGCAGTCCTGTTGTATTAAAACTTTTTCAGAGTGAAATCAGGTGTTCAGGTTCATATAAATCATAAGTATATTTCTGAAAGGAGACAGCATGGAAGATACAAACCCAGAGCAGGTGTGTGTTTTGACTAAAACTGAAGGAAGTGCAAAAGTAACTGATAGAGAGGAAACAGAGACTCCAGAGGTATTTACAGCGACCTGGATGCCAGATGATCATATCAGAATTGACATGTATTTTACAAGGTGGGTTTAGGGAAGGATCTTTTATAGTTAATTGTTATTATTTTACTAGTAATGCAGTAGCCAATGCATTGGCTACTGCTGCTACTTACCAGATGGCTTGCAACAAAGGCCTATACTACATATATTCAAGCAATGTACAGCTTGCAGATATTCATAGCAATATATAATTCATGCATATTTGGTATGAATTACCAAGAGCGATTCAGAGAGATA